TTAAATCCGAATTTCCAAATGAAATAATTGGCATCGATTTATTGGGCCCTTTTCCAAAAAGTCAGTTAAATAAAAGTCGCTATCTCCTTGTTATGGTTGATCATTTTAGTAAGTGGACCGAAATTGTTCCCTTAAAACGAGCCTCCGCGAAATTAGTTACTGATTCTATTTTAAATAAATATATTTTAAAATACGGGGCGCCCCTAAAAGTTATATCGGATAATGGTCCTCAATTTGTAAGTAATATATTTGAAGACATGTGCCAAAAACTGGGCATACGTCATTTAAAAATGGTCCCGTATCGGCCGCAATCAAATATAGCGGAACGGGTCAATAGAAATATAGTGAAAATTATCCGTAGTTATTTTAAAAATTTTCATAAAAGCTGGGATAACTATGTCAATGAATTTGCTTTCGCCCTTAGGACCGCAAAACATGATACAACGGGCAAAACTCCTGCTGAGTTATTTTTAGGCAGAAAGATTATAACGCCGTTAGATAAATTATTTTATGTGCAACAAAGAGCCCCAGAATTTAAAATGGGTGATATAGAAAAACTAATTAAGGAAGCAAAAAGAATACTGAAGTAGCACAGAGAAAACAGAAGCTTTATTATGACATTGAAAACGACGGGGAGTAACTTATAAAGTAGGGGATGAAGTGTTTAAAAATTAAGCATTCACTTTCTTCAGCACCAGAAGATAAAACTGCCAAATTTTTTTCCACGATTTGAAGGACCATATGTCATAGAAAAAATAACTCACGCTGTAGTAGTGTTAAAAGCCAGAAATGGTGAAACCTGCTCCGCAAACATTGATCAAATCAAACCCTACTATGATCGTAATAAAATGCAAAATTTTAAGATCTTTTGCAGGATCCGGCACGGCAGACACCGCAGGCACAAGCTCCAGAGGTGGAAAAACGACAAGTACAAGGGCAAGCCATTAAGAGGCAGGAGCAAGTGAAAAGAAAGTTTCCCCGCGGAAAAATTGAAGGTAAGCAAGAAAAGAAAGCCGTTCCACCGTCCAGAAAAGAGAGCTCACGAACACCCCCCAGAATGAAGAAGGGAGAAGGACGACGTATGCAAAGAGAGCCAGGAGAAATGACGGCAACTATAACCCGGCTCTAAAACAGGAAGATCTACTCATCCGACAGGACTCTCCGCAGCAAATGTCGCCGAACTGCGGAAGGGCCATCAGCGGCGGAGGAAAAAGTTACAAGGAAAATTTGAACGGCCAGCAACGAGGTCCAAGCAGGAACGCGAAAGAAGTTTCCCGGTTCCGCCAAGACCAGCTGCCATCAAACGGCCAAGACCAAGACCACAGGCAGAAGGCGAAAAGAAGGTATTCAAGGGTGACCGAACTGGAGAAAAAAGAAAGCATCTAGAGGAAGGCACTGAAGGGCGAGCCCGTACAAGAAGGAGGATAAATCAAACAACTATCTGCACTACCTTTAAGGACTGGGCTCAGAAAAGAATGTCCGAATATCACAAAGATAAGTAAAATTTTATGTTACTTTGCAAACTTAATCTTTCATTCTTACTGCAAGTGGCAGATTTCAAGAAGTTTTACCTCATGCGAGGTCTACCTTTATCGCCAAAAGGGCGAGAAATGAGTTGTTACCGATTTTGGTATTATGTTTTTCAATTACTCGCGCGTAAAACTAAAGTTGATGTATAATAGCGATGTGTAAAAACTTAAATATTGTAAAAGTTAGTGTATAAATTTTATTTAAAACATTCTGGTAAGAAAGAAGTTTTAGTCTGAAAGACTTTTTGAAATGTATTATTTCAATGTAGAAAGAATTGGCACTTGCTTTGAAAAGAATAGAAGTTAACAATGTACTACTAATGTATGTTTTCAAATGTATAAAATTAACGGCATGTTAATGTTTCTTATATACAATGTGAACTGTTATTTTAAATGTTAAGAAATACCGTGATATGGTAAAAGTGAAAGTAATGTTAAAATTTTTTTTTTATTCGTGTGACTGTAAAAGACTACAAATCATGGTGAATATGTGTTAAAGGTTGAATGATGTAGTTAGGCTCTCTGACGCTACACTTCAGAGTTAGCCACTTTCAGAATAGTACCTCAGGGTTTAGAGTTGAAATTAGGGTGTGTTACGAGGTCTTGGTATGTTGAATTTTAACACGTTAGTGTTTTGATTGTAGGAGGAAGTGTTGAACACATAGACATAAACACATTCGTGTTTGGTGTTTCTTTTACAACACATGTCAGAGAGCACGGGGAGAGATAACTTAAAATAGTCATGAATGAAATAAGAATGTTAAGAGAAATATAATTATACATGTTACTTGCCATTTCATTGTGTAACATTTCATTAAACTAGTTTTCCTTCCAGATCTCTGGAAGGAACCAGATTTGAATAAAAGCTCCTGTTTAGATGCAGTACAGATGAAAAAAACTTGTGTGTCCTTGGGAGCTGCTATTGTAAAAACAAATTTCTTTCTTTTAAATTTTCTAGTTTCTAGCGAAAAATGTTTGTAAAAGATTGGCCTCGCGTTAGATTCTAGAGCTAAAAGTTTTCAACAAGGTCGTTTTAGACCTCAGTCTCAAACTAATTAACTCTGGCGGGAAGTATGTAAGGATCTTAAGTTTTACTAACGTTTATTTTATTTTAAATCTTTACTATCACTTCTTATTTTCTACTTCCGGCCAGAATTATAATTGTTAAAGTATTTATGCAAAGTTTGTCTGGCGAACGCCAAGTATTTAAGTTGTGGCTTTTTGCCAAGCGAAAGAGAGGAAGCAGTGAGTCGAAGCAGGCCGCTTACCTTAGAAGTTTTATTCAGTTGCTGGTTGCCTTCCAGGCCAGAGGTTTTAATCCTCTTGATAACTTTAAACGTATTGTAGTGTTCACAGTTCTCTGTACTACATACGGCTTCCTGTTAATATAAGGCCAATCTTCCACGTTTATTATTTTAAAGTTAAATTAGAGTTTAGTTTATTTTTTATACTTTTTTACGTTTTGACCCCAAGTAGCGGGTCTGTGTATTTCCGAAGTACGGAAGTTATTGTAAATAGAGAAAAATAAAGGGTTTTGTATACCCTTCTTGTGTATCCTGTCTACTTCCCACAATTGTTGAACGTAGCTTTAGTAAGCTCTCTGTTCCGAGTCAGGTCCTTGCATGTTCCCGAAGAAGGTTAGACGGAACATTGAACCTGATAAACTGAACATTATTTTGATGAAGGGAGAACAAACTGAGAAAACTATAGAAAAATGTATGGCAGTACTTATAGCGGGATTTCTAAGCATATGCCGGTTTTAAATTATTGTGATTTTCTACTGAATTTTTTTTTTTTTAATTTTATTTTTTGAGTCAGCTTTGTGCTACCCAGATCCTTAATTTTAAGTCCATCCTATGAATTTACCCTATTAAGAGCAACATGTATTTGACAATTTGTGAATATTTGTTTTCAAAATAAATTAAGACCTCTGGCATGTATGCGGTTTGACGAATAACGTATGCCAGTCCGATACCTAGCCGCGCAAGTGGCTAGGCTTAAAATAAATAAATAAATAAAATAAAATAAAAGGTTTAAGATTTTAACGGTCGCCAAAAAGGGTTTGTTAAGGTTTTTTACGCTCTCTCTGGAGGTGGCATTCTACCAGTCTGCTCTTTCATTCACTCCTGCTAACCGCGTCTTTTTAGCTTTATTACTAAGCATCGTTTGTTCACTTAATCATGCTTAATCCTTTGTGGAATTTTTTCGAGGAATTAAGTGTTTCAGATTTACTTCGTAATTTTTAATATAGATATTTTGAGTTTTTATGTATTTTTGCCTTGTCTGGAAGAGAGAACTGAATTAATTGAATGAGAAATACTGAATCGTCTGTAAGAAACTGTTTTTTTTTTTTTTTTTTTTTTTTTTGTTTTGTTTTGTTTTTGTTTGTTGTTGTTGTTCTTTGCTTAATTTCTTTTATACATCGTTTTAGATTTAAGAACAGGTCGCAACGATTAGATAATTCTTAAGATGATATAGACTTTGTGCATGCTGAGTTAAAAAATGAATGAAATGTAACGCTCTTAAGTGAACCTAGGGCCAGAGTGTCGCTGTGGTAAACAAATATAGTGAATTTTAATGAGTGCATTTATTCTATTGTGGTTTGTGCGCTATCGACGAAGTAGATTTAATTCAATCGAATAAGTTTAAATGAAATGCAAGAAAAAATACGTATAATTTAATATTTCGTACAAGGAAGTTATGTGGTGTACACATTAGATTTTTTTATTATGTGAGAGTGATAAGAGTAGTTTTGAGAGTGTCCATTCCAGAGTGATAAAGTTACAGGTTTTATCAATAAAAATACTCAACAATTGTTTAAAGATAATATGATTCATTGGTTTACTACACAAAGTGTAGAAATCATTCATGCCATAGTTGGAAGTTTGTTGTTACCTTTCTCATTTGTCATACAATTGTCAGCATAAACCCACGACATTCATCGTGGCAAGGAGTCAAATGCACCTATGGTAAGTGGTGGTAGACGATAATTCACCACTACCCAGATTTGGCGACTGGATCACCTAATCACCCTTTAAAATGGGGGGATAAGGTATTTTCTCCCTCTTTTCCGGATGCCTTCAGGGTGTAATTATAAGCATACTCAATGAGTATTCAAGATTTCCAGGATCCGAGTCCCAGAGAAGGCATTGTACATTTTCACCATCTCCTGTTTCGAAAAACTTAATGACTCTGCATAGTATGTTTAACATTAAGTAGTTATATTTCCTTTCAACCTAAATATTAAAGAATAAGTGATAAATCACTTTAATAATATGATTTTTTAACGCAAGGCTGCGCATATAAGACTAAACTGTATTCAGAAAGGTATTTTTAAAAAGTGTCTTGTGCACAGTCTTAAAAAGTGTCTTGTGCAAAATTTAAGTCTTGTGCACAGAATAATTGTATATAAGAATATTGTAGCTAAATTAGCTTCTTTGCATTAATACGTTTTAAATTCTCTTTTCCTAGATAGAGTAGCGGGATTCGAGTGTGATATATGTCACTGTCTGTTTTCAGAAGAGCAATATATGTTGTCGCATAAATCTCGTCACCCTCATATGATACCAGATCGGAGACATAAATGTCATATTTGCACGTATTCTACTCCGCGTTCATTTAACTTAAGAAAACACATCATGAAACATCAGAAAGAAAGATCTCACCAGTGTCCGAGTTTTACCAAATCAGACACCCTACCGAGCCATATAGGAACTCACACTGGAGAGGAACCGTTCATCTGTAACTTGTGCAATAAAATATTTTTTCAAAGTTCGTCCTTGAAACGTCACGTCAGAACTCATTCCGGCAAAAAGCCGTATAGATGCTCCGAATGTGGAAAAAATTTCAGCCGTAAGCAACGTCTCCAGACTCATCAGAATTTGCATACTCAAGAGAAACCTTACCAGTGCCACCAGTGTGACTACAGGAGCAGAGATGAAAGCTCTCTGCGTAGGCATGTCGTCTGTCGACACACAAGAAGCTTCTCATACGTATGCCAGCACTGTGGAAAAGGTTTCTATTTGCCAAGTAACTTGAAGCAACACCGAGCGGGAAAACGATGTCGTGAATCAGTGAATGCTGAATATCAATAAGATAGAAATTTCAGAAATGCCCTTGCTTTCAGGTGGCAAATCTTATTGGTGAGAAGCATTTTTCTGATTCAATATGGCAAGAATCTGTTCGATATTAATTGAAATATAATGTTATAGTAAAATTTCATTTAGTATAAATTTTTTGTTACGAATTTTAACTGCAATACTTGGGCATTTGTAATAATGTATCTTCATGAAAGGTTTAAGCAGATATTGATGATTATGGAAGGAATAGTTAATAATTAAATCTTGAATAATAATGATAATTAAATAATCATAATTAATAATTAATTCTTGAATCAATGTTAATAAAATATATTTAGTTGCATTTTTTTTATTTAATTTCTTATTAGCATACTAAAAACACGATTAAAAATATTTGTTTACTGAAAGCATTCCAAATCAGCAAGATACGATTCTTTCATTTCCTAATATAAACCAAGATGTCTAGTATACATTTAAGCATTCGACATTTATAACTGCTTTGGAAAAAATTATATTTTGATTGACTAAAATTTTACACAAAGATGGGCAATTCAGTTATACATACCGCACTAGAAAACTTGAGTAAATAAAATGCATCTAGGTTTGTTAATAATGTTACGAATGTTGTACATAGATAGGTAAAAAACTTTCCGTATAATGTAACATTAAAATCTAGAGAAATGATGCTTTGACACAAAAATAAGAATACGGAGGCAAGTTTTAACATTGAGTAAGTTGCTGTCTCGCTAACTTAGCGATATTTTATCAAGCTGGCAACGGTATTGGCAATTAATTTTTATCGCCAAACTTGGCGACCGCTTAGAGACATTTTGGTACGGTCCCTGTATTACCGTAATAGCTATGGTAATTGAATAACTGTAATTGATTTCATATGCAACTGCAACCTTACCTGGCTACATATGCCTTCCAATAACTTCGAGAAAACGAAAGAACTATAACTCTCTCAGCGAGTGGGAGAAAACAACATAAGATCGACGAGAGCATCAGTTCCTCAGTTGTTGTTGTTAGTTGTTTATTTCATCGTAAAGCGCTGAGGTATCTCCGGATTAGTTTCGCTGTTTAGATGCGCTTTGCATTGCGTTGTAATTAACATTCCCAGTAGGTTGAAGTGTAACTACTGATTGTACTCTGTGATACTGTGAAGAGTTGTAAGACTATTTTTGTGGAAAATTCCAGTTCTCTGAAGTGTTTCTTTTGATAAAATAATTTTTATCAACCTATCATACGACATGGGGGCATATTACGAGCCCATGTGCAAACAAAAAATTTTAGCCTCAAAAGTGGGATTTGAATGCCAGTGACAAGAGCGAAGGATGAGAAATTAAGACAGCTGGTGGAAGCCTGTGCTCCATTCAAACAAGAGATTAAAGCTGGCCAAGATTTTGTTAAAGAAAAGATTCAAGCAGGTCACGAGGAAAGGAAAAATTACCTGCGTAATATAAAACAAATTCGAGGCTATAGAAGGCATAATAGAAGGTTGAAAATAGGGTTGGAGAAACAGAAGAAAGAGTTTCTTCTGCCAACGAACAAATCGAAGAGAGAGTTTTCGCCGTTGCAAAAGAAATTGACACCTTGAAAAAATACATAGCGACAACAGGAAGCAGTTCGGGTGGATTTTTAACTTTTTACCCATGCCTTCTCGTCCCTCTCTGAAGTCATCCACATCTGATGGTAAGACCTCTGAGTAAGTATATAAGACACAATTAGTGACGAAAGCGAAAGGATGAGATTCTCAAGCTAAGACCTCTCATTTCGCCGCTTTTCTGAGAGCGAACGCAGCGGATTTCGTTCAAACTCTTCTCGAAAACCAAAGGCTAGAGTTTGAAGCTCTATCCGGCGCTTTGGAGCTTTGCTTCGGGAAGAACACTATAGAAGCCTCCGTTTGGAATCCAGTCAACAGAGCCCACGGAAACTCTCCGGGAGCTTGCCACGGATTTTCAAAGGCTGTCTCATCTCTGTTTCGGACTGCCCACCAGAAACAAGGGAAACAGTGTCCCTGTAGTACTTCATCGATAGCGTCCGGGATCCTGAGATACAGAAATCCCTGAGAATGGCGGATATCAAGTGTTTAAAAACCGCTATAGCGTATGCCATGTAATTCGAGGCAGACCAGCAAGCAACTCGTAGAGATCGCCACCAAATCAGAGCTGCTCAAGATCCAGTGAATCAATTAGTTGCTCGTCTAGACGATTTAGACGGAATAAGAGTGACAAGAAACCGATCCTAAAGTGCTGGAACTGCTGTGATCGCTAAAGTTCTGAAACTGCGGTGAGTTGGAGACTGGAACTACTAATTAAATTTATAAGTAGAGTGCATAAGCCTGCTGTACCAGGCACAGAGTCCATAAACTTGCCACTACAATAGATAAATGATGCAGTAGTAAATAGTAAAACTGAAATAATCTTTGCCTTCAGCGTTTAAGGAAATTATGTTTTAGTTCTCGTTTCATCAATAGATGGTGTCAGTAGCTTAACTCCTGTCCATCCATTCTTATGTTATCTTATTTAATCACAATATCGTATCTCGTTCATTTGCACTTTGGCAGCTGAGGCTGATGGTTCGGTAAAACCATCGAAACTAGTCCTGTGAAAATTTGCAAATATAACGCTGATTTTTGTTGTTTGACTTCTAAATTCATACTTGTTCGGCGTGTTATTTTATCTTAATTATATTACATGATCTTTAAAGAAGAGATGGCTATCAATGATGGCATCCAAATATTTGAATGAGTTGGAGACTGAAATGACTTCGTTGAAAACTTTCATTTCTGAGTTTGTGGGCATAATACCTTCGATATCTTTGGAATTGTATGATATTGCATTTTGAATTGTTTAATTTTATCTTCCAAAGCTGACACCAGGTGACGACAATATTGACGTGGACCTGTAAGTTATCTAAGGCAAACTGTGGGTTTTTGGACTTTGAAAGAATGACCGTATCGTCTGCATATTTTAGAATCTTTGAATTTAGAGGGTTTGGATATTAAGAGTATGATATTACGAATTTAATAAAGCTGACTGGATGGAAGCATGAAGTTAGTAAGCTTGAAGATTAGATCATCCTGCCATACTTTATCAAATGCTTTCTCCACCTATTTTCAACTGGTTCGAAATAGGAACAGAATCGCTGACTCATCTCCCCTACGTTTCTACGATGTGAGCGTTTATATTGTCAAAGAAGTCGTAGCGAGAGGCTCACTGGGTGCCGCTCGCAGAGGTGTAAACTGGCCTTTAGCGATTTTCTCAGGAATGTTTTCAAAGGTAAGTTGTTTTTTTTTACTTGAGAAAGAAAAATATATTTCCTCGTGCACCACAAAGAACTGAATCAGGCTTACAAAAACGTAAGTAAAAAAAATCAGCTTTAAATAATACAATTAATTCAAACATCTTTGACTAAAGGAAAACACACAAAAAAGAAAAATAATCTACAGAGTTAATCATTTACAATATTCAAAATAAACATCGATAAAGTTTTAGGTTAAAATTATTTGCACTTTCGCAGCTGAGGAAGATGGTTTGGTAGTCAAATCATGGAACCTAGTCCTACAAAATTTGTAAGTATAGCGCTGACTTTTGTTATTTGACTTCTAAACTAATCGATAAAGTCATTAAAGGTATAGTAGGACGTGGTTAAAGAAACAAAATTACGACATTGCGATGGCCAATAAATTTCAGTTAATTTTAGTCTACATTTCAGTGAATTTCTTGCACATAACTAAGAAAAGGGTAATCAAAACGTAGGTGGAAAACACTTTCTTGAACCCCGAGATCATAATAACACAAACTGGAAGGTGTCAGTTTAAACCGTTCAAGATAAACTGCCAAGACAAAATGAAGCTAGTAACCGCTAAATTAATATTCTGCCATACTTTATCAAATGCATGTACCTAAATTTTCATTTGAAAATTCGCTGACCCTCTCCCTAAATTTCACGAATCAACTATATTTTAAAGTAGGATTGAGCGACTCTGTATGTGGTTCCTCGCGCCTGCTTTATTATTTGTATAACAAAATCTACAAACAGAAAGAAAAATACTAGGAGGAGATAATAGTACACGAAATTATTTCATGAAACAAAAAAAGTAAAAAAAAATCATAGGCAGTACTTACATTTTGTACAAATAAACCAAACCTTCACTCTTACAACTATCTTTGTTAAAACTTAAGTTTAGGTTAAAACTTATTGTGGTTTTTTTTCTGTCAAAATAAAAAAAAAAAAAAAAAATAGCGGACAGTTTATCTCTAGGATAAAGTCATTAATCAGTTGCGTGTCTAAAGCGCCTAGGATTACGACATGGTAGTTAAAGATTTTCGTACATTTCAGGACATTTTAAATATGCTAACCATTTTTTCCCATGCTTAAAACTCAAGGAATGTTTCTTTCTTCATGAAAATAATAACAATATTAAATTATGGCATATACATAAATTTAATTGAAAATTATAAAAATGCTCTTACTGTAGAAAAAAGAGTGTTGCGTTCGGTAACGTCAGCGGAATAAAAACTACGGATGTTTAGTGAGTGGATTGTACTCGTGTTATGTTTCTTTTGAGTGGAGCGCAGGATTAATTTTTAGTTGTAAACGTTTTATAAATTACAAATCCTTTACTTGTAATTAATTTAATATTAAATATACATTGTATTTCTTACAAATAGAGATTATTTCAATTGAAAGATTCAAGCATGAAAAGCTGATTAGAATATGATGCAAAGTACATTACATACTGTACATCTATAAACAGTTGGCTAGGTACTCTTACAATAGCTTTTGTTATCAACGGACTACGATAAATGTCTACCATCTGCAGGCATGGTTTTTGAATTCTGAATTGACTAGATATGCTGTTGCTGATCTATTTCGGCTAATTTACACTCTCAATAGGAGTTGCAAAAGGAATAATGCATTCTCGCATCTGAATCTAAAATAGACTTTATATTTCCAGTAGTAAAAAGCGGGGAGGTAAGTTTAGATATGATCTCACTTCATAATTTATCAGTATTGTCAATTGACTACTGTTAAATGCTAATTTGCTCATATTCCTGTAAAACGTGAATCATTCTCGTACAACAGGAAATAATGTCTTATCAAAAGACTAATACATTTTTTCTTGAGGGTAAAAAATGATATCCCGTAAGCAATAATATTCCGATAAATCTTCTCATAAGGCTTCAGATGCAATAAATTCTAAAC